TTTGTCTCTGTGGGAACCTAGTCTGCTGAGAGAAAAAGAAAGGTTTGTATTATAGTTCCTTAAAAAGAGAATGTTGGGATGTTGTCACCTTGAATGAGCTACTACTGAGAAAATTGGCCACAAAGAGTGAGCTTCCCTTTGAAACACGGTTTTCATGAGTAGTATCAACACAGTATCACAGCTCTCACCTCAAAGAAGCTAAGAGATGGATTATTTTAGAGGTAAACATGAGTGACCATGGCCCGGGAACACAGCTTCAAGTTACCTCAAATCCCATGTTCCAACGTGGAAGAAGTTTCGTGTCACAGAACAATGAAAAGCCATAAATTAGTGTTCAAATACCTTGGTGGAAACATGAAGCAGGTGACTAGAGCCAAGCCAAGAACTCTCAGGTATAGGCTGCAGATGTTATTTGATGACAATTAGTCTTAGGTTGGTGGGACCAAGGGCTTTGTTAATACATTCCAAAAGGGTTATTTTTTTTTAATCTGTTAATCACAGGATGTTAAGTCAGACACAAAGATCAGCTAGGAGTGGCAATACCTCTAAAAAGTTAAGCTAAGTTTTGATGGTCAGAATTTTCTAATGTAAGGATGCAGATTAGCTGTTTGGATTAAAAACCATATCGAAGATATCTAAATTATATGCAAAGCAAGTGGAAAATTAAAACAAGAGTTGTTATATTGATATCTCAAAAAGGAAACTTCCTGGCAAAATTAAGCAGACCAGATAAAGAAGCATCCACCGTGATAACCAACTACATATTCTGACAAGTGACAAGACTCATCACTGGCTATGCCCATGTTGAACACAGACTGGAGTGTTGAAGCCATTTGTTTATGTAAATGAGTTCAGGGCTCACCAGAGCACGTGCTTTCATGCACTTTCATGGCAGGAATACAAAATGGTCTTTAACCCTGTGTGTCAGTGAATTGCCCGAGGAAATTTTCAAATATCTCAATCCCAGGCCTTTCAGTCCAAGGCTGCATTCTGATAGTGGTACTCAAGGTGATCTGAGCAATGAGGTAAATGCTCCCTGCTATGTTAAAGCTCAGAGGTTCTGCTGGTCCAATGTCTCCCTAAGTACTCATTTTACCACTTTGAATTCAAAACTGGTCAGTTTCTCCACATAGGTTTTACAAAAAAAGTTGTTAGTAAGCTAATAGGCTAGGGGTTGTTTATCTTGGCCATCAATCCTGCACAGCTAGTATCTTGCACACTGGTTAATACATTGTAGACATTTCATAGGTATCAAAAAGATGTTGTATAATTTAATGAGACTTTTTAGGAGAGAAGATTCTGAAGTCAATTGTGGAACAAAAGTGAACAAGGCAGACCATGGCTGGTGGTCCACCTCACTGTGGGCTTCCTGAGCAGCCTGCGAACTACGAATCCTCCCAGAAGAGAATACAATTCAACACAGGCCGAAATCCACCGTAACACTTTTAAATGTCAGATGAAACATATTTCATGGAACCTATTTAGGAAACATAGAACTAAACTGCTTTCATTATAGAGGCCGGAGGTTATAGAGAGCATCACACAGTCAGAGGGAAGAATTATGGATCTTCTCTTTCTAAGTAATGGGGATCTTACTGGTGGTAGCTTTAAGGTGAAATTCCATTTTCTTGGATTTACTGCAAATGATTTTTCATCATTTCTATTCAAGAAGCTATCAAAATGAGGTAATTTCACTAATACTCACAGGGGAAGTACAGAAGCTTTCTCCTTTCATTCAATCATGCTCTTCTTGACAGTGTGCAGATGAGGTTTTTCTTTGCATTGACTTTTCTGGAGACAGAATGTCTAAGGGTTCTTTAGCGGTCTCTCTTCAGATGTAACATCACCTCGTGGATGGATGCTTTTGTTTCTTGAACCATTTCATAAAACAGTAGTTTATGAAATCCCACCTTCTTTACTTCTCTTTCTTTTCTTTGTAAATAGAATCAACCTCTATCCAAAGAAAATAAATGCCACACAGCCTCAGTTGGAGCCTTTGAGACAGAGCACAGTGAAATAGCAGAGTCTCTAAGAACCACAGTGAAGAAAGATGGGTTAGAAACCTCCCCTGTGCAGATGTTTATCCTCTGGCCAATTCTTCGCCTTTACTTTATTCTCCTCTGTAAAGGATGAGCACTGATCCTGATGGCTTACTTTCTGTCCTAAACTGTCACTTACTTGCCTTCTGAAAGGTCAGTCAAGGAGAGACTCTGATGAGAGTCTGGAAAACATGAAGTGGTGAGGAGCTCAGTGCCCCACCACCCACCAGCACTTCAGTCTTGCTATAGCTGCTGCCAGGCCAACTGCGGCCTCCAGGTTCTGGGAACATATCTTTGTCCTCAGCCCTCAGCCTGAGTGAAGCACACTTCGTGTTGCTCATCTCTGGTTCGACTCAACATTTTTATTCCTTTCCCACCGCCACCTCTAGCTGAGAGCTGCACTCACCATTAGACCAAGAAAAGGACAGTGTAGAGGATCACGTAGGCATCAGCCAGTTCTACAGACAGTCACTAGCCAATGACTATGCCAATAGTGGATTTCTGAACACTCACTCAAGGCCCTTGGGTAATAAATAGATGATAAATAGAACCAAATATGCTCTTATAAATTGTAAAAGTGACAAACAACCCTGGTCAAGTTAAATCAGTGATTTAAGAAACATCAAGGAAAATACTATCCTCAGTTTACTAGCTGACAACTGCCCAATTAGTGTCTGACTCTGCAATTCTGGATAAATTCACAATATATAAGGCTTGCTATGCTGGAATTGGGTTGTATCCTTATTTGGGATCCTTAGAAAGGTAGGAAAGTTTATTTCTTCCTTCTTTTCTTCTTTCTTTATTGTTGTTTTGTTCTATTTGGTTTGAGACAGTGTTATGCTATGTGGCCCTCGCTAGATTTGAATCTATCTGCCTTTGTCTTTTAATTGCTGAGAATTTTTAAAACGACATAATCTAAACCCAAAGCCACATGGGAAAAAACAATTCTAATACTATTTTCACATTTACATAGCATGGATGTAGGTGTTATCTACTTAATCACAGCCGTGGTTTTAAAAGAGATGCTCATCCTCTGGCTTTTTAGCGAATTAAACTTTATTATTTATGACCTTCAGTTTCTGAAGAGCTATGTGAGAACTACATCCCACAGAGACACTGTCAGTGTCTACTCACATTGCCACATCTGTCCTCTTTCAGCAGATACAGGCGTGACATTCAACTACCAGAGCCTGTTTTTCTTTGCTTATAGTTTTTGTCTTGACAATGCAATCTATTTCCCCATTCTCTGCCAAGCCAGAAAGAGACCCCAGAGCAACCTTCAACCAAAGAATCCTTTTTTTGTATGGTATAGTTGTCCATGGCGCACTTTGCCTGTCAAAGCATGCTTACAGTGAGGAGGACATCCACTTTCCACTCTGTTCTCGGTGCCCCCTGAAATTATTTACAAATTATTTCTTGTAGGGGCCACTTTAAAGTATCAAAGGCTGACAAAACCATCAAATTATTTCTCCACCTTGTAGGCAATGAGAGCCAACACTAACAAGGTAAATCACTCTCACATATTTTTTTTAGAGAAGAACCAAATTAATAGGTAAGTCTCCTAAAGTTGCAGTTATTAATCGCAAGCACACTACAGCTGCAGTCATTTATGTGGGGGGAGGGGGTGTCTTGCTTTCTAACATTCACAGCATGACTGACTTATCCTAGCAAAGCACCTTTAGAATAAACAACATGAAAATCCCTTCAATGAAAATAAGGATAATGGCGAGCCTAGAAATTTAGGCCAGGGCCACCCTCCCCCTGCAGGATGATAGGCTCTGCTCACTTACTGACCAGTTTTGTGTCATGATTTTTATGCTCTGCTATTTAGATGCCAGTGAATTATTAAAAGATTATATTCTTTCCCAAGCATTATTATGCTGCTATTTTTGTTTCTCTGACTATAGAGAACTAAAATCAAAATTAGATGCAAATTAGTGTCAACACAGCTTCCTTTCAGTCTCAAGTGGTGAACTGTGAAATGGTTGTGATCAAAGTGTACTTATGGGTACTCCAGTTGCCTCACCCTACATCCCTATTCAGCAAGGAAGAAGCCAGAGCAGTCTGTGTCCCGATTCCCTATTGGCAATCTGGGTAACCCTTTCAGAGGATGGCCTGATAACTGTAGGACGTAGGAATTGGCTAGGCAGTTAGGGTAAAAAGACCCCAAAGAAATGTAGCCAGTTTCTTGGCTAAAAGTCAAAATGTCCTTGGGCCTCTTAGCAACATACTCTGTTCCAAGGCCCAAAATGTCAAAAGTATTTGGGAGCTTGCATCTAATCCTTAAAAGATTTTAGGGTTACCGGAGTGGGCATGGATTTGATCAAAACACCTTATATGCATGTATGAAATTCTCAATAAAGCTTTTGTAAAAATTTTTAAAAAGTGTATTTATTCTTTGTGACTCATGACATGTTATTGCTGTTTTCAAGGATAAATATGTTAGCTTTCTACATACAACTTTATAGTTAATTTTATAATATACTTACTCAAAGCGTATTAGCTTTCCAGGATAGAAGTGTGTTTATATCAAGGCAATCCTTTTCTTGCTAAACTCTAAGCTTTTCCTTGCTTCCCCCGTCTCTATCTCATACATCAGAACACATTACCTCTGATGTTCCTCCTGTGAATGTACTCTTCTCTGGTGAACAAAATATAAGTTAGGTCCAGGCAACGAAAGTGAAACAAAATGTTGACTTACTGGGATAATAATGAATAATCTGTATTTACTGCTTCAAGAAAAACATGAGCAAAGTTTTAACTGTTATTTGCTGATAAAGAAAGTTATAGAGATGGCACACTGGTGTGTTTTTGGTTGCCTTTTTGGTTTCTACAGGACTCATGAGCACAATAATGGGTCTGCACCATTTCTATGAAGGATTGCTATGATATTTGAAAACAAATTCTGTCACAATGTGAATAATACTGAGACCAAAATGACAACAATCCAGAACTTTAAATCATTTAGCCACTCTTTATTTATTAGTGTTCTCATATACACGGTAATATAAAGACAGCAAAAGATCAGAGCCTCATGAAAGCAAGAGAGCAAGGACATGCTATGCACAGCAAAACACAGTTTCCACTGGCTCATAGGAACTCCTATTGCTAAAGTTCAATTTAAGGAGTTACTTAGATGCAGAGCATTATGGGAATTTAATACTTATGGATCATCTGAACTTGTTAGTTGTCCCCAAGCTGCAATAATCAACTTTTCAATGTCAGACTCATTTACTCCTCGAAGAATCCTAAAATAGCCATTCTCTCCCCATGACTTCCCCCAGGAATTGGCAGCAATCTACAGGAAAAATAAAAAATAAAAATGTTAAGACTCATATTTTGTTACACTATTTATTCCTGTCTATAAACATAAGAAATTCAAGCATGCGCATTGCTGGTTCAGTGGTAGAACCACCACTTATTGGCTTATTTTCGCATGCCAAAAATAAGAAATCCATATGTAGCTTTCATTGATTTGTCTTTTTATGGACTATAATTATTAGAGCACAAATATATTCTAATAAGAGTTAAGCAGTTATTTTACTTATGCTGCATTAATATCCATGTATATGTGCATGATGGCAATAGTTAACACCAATGTGACTTAAAACCTTGTTCTCTGGATTGTTGATGTGACATAACACAAACATTACCTGGCAGGAGAGTCTCACCAAGGGATTGTTTAGGTTAGGTTGGCTTATGAGAACACCTACAGGGGATTTCCTTAATTGGGTTAATTGAGGTGGGAACATTTATCCTGGATGTGGGCAATACCATTTCATGGGCTGGACACCAGACCCAAGGACAGGAGAGAAGAACCCTGGCTCTCAAGCATTCTTTTCTCTCTGTTCCTGACTCTGGATGTGATGTGATCAGCTCCCCAAACTTTTGCTGCTGTGATTTCCCCACTGTACAGGACTGTGATCTGGAGTAATTAACTTGTTATAGTTCTAGCTAGGTAGCTCAGGCTTTTCTTGAATCCTTAAAGTCATTACATAGCACATACCAGTCTCAAACTTCCCATGTTGTCCTTGAACTCAGATTCTCCTCCTTCTACCTCCCTAGAAATACAACTATGCACATGTACCACCAAGCGTGATTGTTAAAAGACTCCTGTAATACTTCACTTGTGTAATCTAAGGAGAAGACCAAAAAGTGTTTAAGAAAATTTGAGAAAGTAAAATCAGCAGGAATTGCCATTTTCCTTTTATTCCTTTTCTTTTTAACTTTTGGAGATGATTAGAGAGTTGGGAAAGATCCAGAAAAACTCCTGGATCTAAAGCTTGGGTGAACACGTACATTTTGAAGCAAAATTGTTAATGGGGTGTGTACAGAATGTCATGGAGGCTAAAGAGGCACAGAGGGGAAATTAGGTGACCACATCTAAATCAAATTGACAAACCCCATAAATTAGGGAATTCACAACAACAGCTGTTCCACTTGGCTCCCATTCACTCTGTGCTAGGCCTAAGACAAAAAAATGATGCAGGGTGTGATCTACACTGATATTTTCAGGGCAAATGGCATTGCATTAAGCTTTCATGGTTTTCTCCTTTTTAAGAGAAGGTAGATCCCCTCAGCTTCAGAAATTGTGATAACATCAGCTTTAAGAAACATCCACTTATCATCAGCAATTCTTTTTCAGATTTGGCGATTTGCTGACTCTGTCAGTCATGATACCTGAAGGAGCACTGTCAAAGAGGGTCTGAAATCTTGAATGTGATGTGCCTCCTAAGAGTCAATGAGCTCTGAAGAGCTGAAGATAAGACCTTGCAAAGAGTGCGAGTCTTCGCAACAATGATCTAAACACAGTTCCAATTTCCAAATTTTATAGTCGGTCCCAATATATATACTGGCAAATGATTACACACATACACACACACACACACACACACACACACACACCCCAAAATATAGAAAAGAAATCAAATAAAATTAATCTCAAGTGAAGATACATTTTTAGAATATTAATATTTTTAAAGTGAAACTATGATATCTATAGTATTATATCTATTCTCATTTGAATATCCAAAGGTTATTACCATCTAAACTTTTGTCATTTTATCTTTAGTGAACCCAGGAAGGATATGTGAAGTTTTCTAAGCAAATGCAAATGTATATGCTAATTAGAGTTAACCACATATTTCCAAGACTAATTATAAAGAGTGTGACTTTGCAAATTAGCACCAATACAGGGCTCCTTAGGACATGCATTTTACTTGTTCATCTTATCCTTCCTACTCTCATTTTTCCTGTCTCCTCACTTATTTTGTTTCTTTCAAATGACTGAATTTGTTTGTATATGATTATAAAATATTGCATTAAAATATGATAAACAGTGACTTCTAGTGAGTCAACTTTAACTATACAATACTGAGTTTACACATGTGTAAATGAAGTTGATGCCTCTATATTCTCCACTTAGATCAAACTAAACCACTTTTAGCAGCCTGAAGATTTACCATGTAACCTTCCTGTCACTATCTATTAGACCATCAGTTCTTCCTGTCATTCGTCTCTCTAGCAAATGGAACAATGCAGCATGTGCTGGGATGTGACTGCTTCTTCTGATTCAGAGTGATGCCTCTGAGATTCATTTATAAGCTGGAATTGTTAGAGTTTCAATAAGCCCCGTAAATTGAACTGGTCCAGACTATAAAACTGTCTATCTGTGGGAGGACCTACTTTTCCAGTCTCACTGGTCAATTACCTGGTGATAGAACCACTCCCAGGAAGGCAGGGTCACCTTAAGTTATGCTAAATAAATGGGCAGAATACCTGGTGTGTTAATAAGGTATCGAATATTTCTGCTTGGAACTAGCTCAGACCCCCACAGAATTTCCAGACCAGCCACAGTCTGGAAGTCTCCATAAGTCTGTACGCCTTCCTGAACTCTTGAGAAAAGCATAATTTCTCCTTTTCTTCTTTATTCCTTTCCTTCTAAACAAGCTTTCTCTAAGGCTTCGGGCTGCCCCTGGCACCTTTTATTTCTTCCATTTTTTTTCTAAAGCTTCCTTCTCCCAGCCATGTGGTGGCAAGTCAGTCACATGTCTGACCTCTATGCAGGCTCTAACCCTGCCTGGCTCCATGGCTTTCTCTCCTTCTTCCCACTATTCACCTGCTCAGGGCAGCTGCCAAGATGACCAGCTCATCTGCTCTGAGACTTTTCCTTTAAGATCCTAATAAAATTGTAAAAGCTTCTGTTTGGAACCATTCTTAAATTCTTTTATGAATGAGAGAGACTAAGAACCCTATAGGGGACCCTCTTTCTCCCCGTTTCAGAATCTACAACTGACTCATTTATCTCATTATACCTTGCTTGGTTACATGATCAAAGCATGGTCTCCTTATCCTCTCTCCTGTTCATACACAATGAGGGAAGTAGTTATACCACAGACACATGTCAGTGTCTTCACTGCAATGTTCTCATACTTGACCATTGGTCTTAGTTCCACCAAACTAGTGTGCGGTAGGGATCTGTCATTACAACTCTGACTGGCACTTCCCTGGTGCCTAACAATGTTCACCAATTTGGACATTTGCATTTCTTCTTCTATCCCCGGCTTTAAGGGTTTTGTCAAAAATTTCATTAAGTGATATTTACCTTTCTATATAGTTGCAAGAATTTTTATATATTCTATATATGTGTCCTTGAAATCTATCTTTTTAAACTTTACAAAAGATTTCATACATGTCTACTCTGTGTTGAGCATGTAGCTCCTCGGACTCCCCTTTCCTTCCTTCTCCAGACCCTCTGTTTCCTGTTTTTCCCATCCACTGTCCCCTTGAATAGCTTTGTTTCTAGTTTCCAGTGAAATAAATATAAATTATTTTATGTATCTGTATAAACGTAGGAAGCACAAAGGAAAAAAAATTATCTTTCTGCAATTGGTTTAACTCATTTAATGTGATTATCTCCAATTGCATGCATTTTCTTGCAAATGACTTAACATCATTAATCCTTAAAGAGGAAAAAAATTCTCTCATAATGCATTTTCTTATCTAGTCCTCTGTTTTCAGACACAGCTATTGTCAGTGGTGCAATAAACATTTATGCACAAATATCTCTGTGATATGTCGACTTAGAGTCCTTTAGATAAAATCCGGGAACGATATAGCTGGGTCATATGGAAGAGGGGCTGTTAGTTTTTTTTCAGAACTATTTATATTGATTTCCATAGAGGCCACACTGGTCTACATTCCCAGCAGCAGTGTATAAGATTTTTTTATGTCTGCATACTTGCCAGCATTTCTGTTGATGTGTTTTTACAATGACTGTAATTCAAATGACATTACTATTAAATCTCATAGTTGTGTTTACATTTCTCTGAAGGCTAGTGAAGTTGAATACTGTTCTTTATTTTTGATGATGCTAAACATGTATACCTTGAAATATGGTCACATTTACCCTACATTTCCTTCTTCAGTTGCCCCGGGTCCCCTCCAGCATGCCTCTTTCCCAACTTCACATCATGTTTTTGGTAACTCACTAAACTCCGTTAGCGCTACCCATATGGACTTGGGCAGAGGACCATTCACTGAAGAGTGGAAAGCATACTCATGGACATATCCTCAAAAAATAAAAATCCAGATTCATAGCCTCAAGAAACACGTGATTCTCTCTCTCTCTGCAACTTCCCGCTGCCAATAGCTCCTTGGTAAAGGGAAGGGCCTGGAGATCTAGTCTGCCCATCTATGTCAGAACCATGACTGGCTTGGTCTTGTATTAGTATGGTACTGGTAACTACAACTGCTGTGACACCATCGTTGTGGTAGCCACGTCATGTCCAGAAGACGGCACTCCTCCCTGTCTTACATGCTTCTGCTTCTTCTTGCACAATATTCCCTGGGCCTTGGTAGCAGTGAGGTTAATATAGCTATCCCATATAGGGCTAAGTCCTTCAGCCTTATTCTTAGCACTTGATCAGTTATGTATCTTTTAATTGACTGCTGTTGACTTCACAAAGAAGCTTCTCCCATACACATTCCTGCTTAAGCCTTTCTGGTGCTCAGGTCTATGGGTATAAACACAAATACTTAGAAGGCAAATGATAGCATGATCACTTAGCAAACTAACAACAGAATATTCTACCACAGGCTCTATGACCTCCCCAGACATGGGCTTGAAACAGGCGTACAGTAACAGGCATGAAACTCCCTTCTGTAGAGGAGGCCTCAAGTCTGAAAAGAAAACAGTATCTCATATCAGTTGTGCCCCTATTACCTGGCATGTTGGTATTGCATTATGCAGGGTCCAGCACTGAGTAAGACCATTCATGTCTTTTCTCCCCTGGCAGT